CCCTTGTTTTCGCTCTTGCGAGCTGCCCGCGAGTTGGGCGGCCACGAGTTAAAAAGCAGAACTCAATTTGATATACCTATATATTTGTTGGAGAAGAAGTTGAGTTTATTGGAAGGCTCTTAAAAGAATTTAGATTATCATCCAAATAAATGAGATAATATTCGACGATCTCATTTACAAAAAGGTCTTTGTCAACCGCTCCAACTTAAGTTCTCCCCCACCCAAACAAAAACAAAAAACAATTTGTGTCCTTTCCATCTCAACTAGTTTAATGAATTTGGAAATTGACTTGAATATATCATATCAAAAGATGTCGCATTTTGCTTGCGTTGCTATCTTGTGAAGCATAATATTGGAAAGCAAAGTGGTGATTGTTTTATGTCTAACGGATATTCAAATTGGGAAAGAAAAAACAAAGACAGCTTAGTAAAGCATGTTGATGGTTCAAATAGTGCTCATAATGAAGCTTGGACTAAAAGTCAAACTTTAATGAAGCAAAAGCAACATATTGGTATTGCTATTTCCAAACAATCTAATCAAGTCAAGGAGGATTATCGTATTCACTTGACAGTAACAATCGATTGCATTCAATTTCTTTTACGTCAATGATTAGCATTTCAATGCCATGATGAATCTTAACTTTTAATAATCAAGGAAACTTTCTTGAGCTTATGCATTTTGTTTCTAATCAAAATGTTGCTTTTGGCAAATTTTTGAAGAGAACTCGTGGAAATCTTAAATTAATAGCGCTTAGCATTCAAAAGGATATTTGTGAGTGCTGCTGCCAATGAAACTACTCAAGTTATTATGAATGATCTTAATGATGATTTATTTGCTATTTCGATTGATGAATCTTGTGATATATCAATCAAAGAGCAAATGGTCATCGTGTTGCATTTTGTGGATGAGAAAGGACACATTAGTGAATGTTTTCTTGGGATTGTTCATGTTTCATCCACTACCGCATTATCTCTTAATGAGGCAATTGAATATTCATTTTCAAAACATGGACTGAGTGTATCAAGAATTCTTGGTCAAAATTATGATGGTGCTAGCAATATGCAATGGAAATGTAATGGTCTCAATACAGTAATCATGAAGGAGAATGAGCTTGCTTTCTATATCCATTTTTAGCACATAAACTACAACTAGCACTTCTAAGTGTTGCAAAGCAACAAACTGAGATTGCTTTACTTTTTATGGTGCTTATAATTAGGATAATATTGTTGGAGGTTCATGCAAGCGTCGAAAGATTCTTTGAGAAAAGCAAGTTACCAAGATCTTCGAAGGTTAAAAAATGTTGAATTTTCTAGTGGAAAATATTTAAATCAAGAAACATCTCTTCATCGCACTGGAGATACTCACTTAGGGTCGCACTATGAGATGTTAGTCAACTTGATATCAATATTCTCATGTCACTTAGATGCTTGATACTATTATCAAAGATACCACAACCTCAAAGTAAAAAAGCCAAACACGTGTTTTATTATACTTCATACAGTCTTTTTAGTTTGTATTTGGCATGCACTTAATGAAAAATATATTAGAAGTCACGCACGAGTTATCTCAAGCCCTACAATGCAAAGATCAAGATATCAACAACGCTATTGCTTTAGTTAAAGTAGTCAAGCAACAACTACATGGATGAGAGATGACGAGTGAGCATCTTTTTTGAGTGATGTTTCTTTATTTTGTAAGAAACATGATATTCATACTCCAAATATGGATGATATGTTCGCATTTTGTGGATGACCATGACGTAATTTTTAGAAAGTGACAAGCTTGCACTATTTTGGTGTTGAAGTTTTCTATTAAGTGATTGACAAGCAACTTCAAAAGCTTAACAATTGCTTTATGGAGGTTAATACCAAGTCGTTTACTTGTATGGCATACTTGAATCCAATGGAGTCATTTTTTGCTTTTGATAAGAGAAAATTGATTTGTTTTTTGCTGAGTTTTATCCTTCAAAGTTTCATCCGGTAGATCTTGTGGTTTCTAATAATCAACTTGAGAATTATATCATCAATGTGCGTTCAGATAATCAATTTTCAAAATTAAACGACATTGGTTATCTTTCCAAAATGTCAATATAGATAAAAAAGAATAAAGTATATCCTTTGGTGTGTTTGCTCGTGAAGTTGGATTTGATCTCAGCTGTTGCAACTGCAATTGTGGAGCGAACATTTCCTACAATGAAGATTGTCAAGAATCATTTGCGTAACAATATGGAAGATGAATGGATGAATGCTTGTCTCATTACATATGTTGAAAGAGATGAGTTTGATAGTGTTCCAACTGAAAAAATCATATAACACTATCAACATATGAGAAATAGTCAAGAACAATTGTAATAGTACACATCAATTTGTCTTTCTTTTATTTTGTAGTAAAGTAAATATTAGCATGCTTCTTGATATTTACGAGACAATCTTTTATGAATTACTTAATGCACATCGAGTGTTTGATTTATGAATTTATTTTTTATTCATATTTGTTTATGATATAAAACAGATATATAGAATGTAACCACAATGTTAAATTTTGTAGAGTATTTAGACTAGCAAATTTGTATTTTTTGATTTAATTAGTAAAAACAAATCATTAGTGAAAATCCTCATATTTTTTATGTATCATATCGTAAGCATAATATGATACAATGTAGCCGATAGGATATAGGGGCTGTTTGGTTGGCTTTTTTGTTTGGGTTTCCCTACCAAAACAGACAAAAGCTGTCAGTTTTGACAGCTTTACTTGCAAAAACGCCCATTTTGGAGCGTTTTTGCAAGTAAAACTGTCAAAACTGACAATTTTTGTCAGTTTTGGCAGGGAAATAAGGGCAAAAAATACTAATCAAACAGCCCCATACTGAATGGATATACTGAATGCATTCCCATTGGGTACTATAATTTTTTTTCAATTTATATTTTTATTGTTAAGTAAAGATAGTTGTTGTCCATCCCGTGCGTATGCCACTCAAAGAAGCATGGAGGAACAGGCCAAACAATTACAAAACTTAAATAAAACATGAATAGAATAGAATAGCATGCAGTGGAATAAATTGGAGAACTTTAGAAAGTTTTTTATTTATTTAAATAGGTGCATTTAAAGTTTACCACGTTTCCGCACATAGATCCAAAATGTTGTTAGTGGGCGAATAGTCAACCCACGGAATTTAGGAGGCTCAAGAAGAGAACTTACATTGTCAGCCTATATACTTCTTGTATTGCATACAATGTTTATGAACAATACTTGCATATTCAATCCTCATAAGTGATAATATCAGGAGATGAAGAAAATTATCATTTTTTAGAAAGAGTCATATGCTAAAAAAATCTATGCCATAATAGTAAGGAACTTTTATTTTGAAGAAGAAACCAAATCGTTCAACATGAGAAATCTCATCATAAGAGCAGCTCTAACCGGGCTGCATTTCTCCAAAATGCAGCCCGGTTGAAGTCCAACCGAACTCCATTTTTTGGAGTTCGGCTGCAAAAACCAAACCTGGGCTGCATATTTGGAGTTTTTTCCTCCAAATATGCAGCCCCTCTATTTCACTATTCCCCCTAATAAAATTTCTATTTTACCCTTCTAACTAACTAATTATTTTTAGATATTCAACTTAAAATCAACATAAGTTTATTTCTACTAATTATTTTTAAATAAAAGTTTTACAATTGGAAATGTTTTGTCGATACCTTCAAAATGAGACTAATATTGAATAACATTAATTGAAATATAAAATTTCAAGAACCAAGTAATTAAAAATGAAAAAGTCATTATTTCATTATTAAAAAAAGTTACATCGCTTCATTTCCATGTCTTTCCCACAAATGTTCAATCAATGCATTTCGAAGTGCATAATGAGCTTCTTTGTTTTTCAACCTCTTATGTCGAGCAAGGAACCGTTGGAATCGTTCAGTTTCCGTTATCTCCATATTTTCAGCATTCAGAATTGATTGTGGAGTTGAAATGATAACATCTTCTTGCTCGTCGCGTTCATCTTTGATAATCATATTGTGCATTATAATACAAGCAGTCATGATATCATGCAGAGTTCGTTTATCCCAAAAACAAGCTGACCCCTTGATGATAGCAAATCGTGATTGGAGAACACTGAATGCCCGCTCAGCATCTTTTCGACATGCTTCTTGCATCATTGCAAAATATTGTTTCTTTTTATCATCGGAATTAGAAATGGTTTGAACAAGTGTTGGCCATTTCAGATATATGTCATCGGCCAAATAATAACCGACATCATAATTTTTTCCTTGAATTGTGTAATGAGCATGAGGAGCAATACATTGTGATAGATTGTCGAACAAATTAGACGACTGCAATACATTTATATCGTTATTGGATCCTGGTAAGCCAAAGTAAGCATGCCATATCCATAGATCATATGATGCTACTACCTCAAGAATAATGGTTGGGCCTCCATGACGACCTGAGTATTGTCCTGTCCATGCTGTTGGACAATTTTTCCATTGTCAATGCATACAGTCTAGACTTCCTAACATTCCTGAAAAACCTCTTTCTTCGCCCTTTTGCAATAACCTTGCAACATCGTCGACATTGGGGGTCCTCAGATATTCATCTCCATATACTTCTACAATTGTTCTGCAAAATCTCTTTAAACATACAATTGCAGTTGACTCGCCGATCCTAACATATTCATCAGTACTATCTGCTGATGTTTCATACGCCAACATGCAAAATACCGATGTAACTTTTTGTAAAGTTGATAGCCCAAGTTTGCCGACACCATCCATCTTCTGTACGAAGAAGTTTTCATGCTCACGTACCGCCTCGACTATACGAAGGAATAAACTCCTGTACAAGTCGAGCGCTTAAATCCAAGCGGTGCTTCTGAGCTTGACATTGTAAGTATTTTGAATAACATAAATCTTGATTGTTATCTATTATCATGTTATTAATAAATGTTTCTTCCTCTCTTGTGGTAGATTAAACGTGCTAGGATAATATTTGCAGAAGATCCAGAAGAGAGAAAGGGGGTTTCTATTTTATCATGTTTGGTTAATTTTAAAAGATGCAGAGAAATGGGCAAATATAAGTGTCAGATCGCTTGTAATTTCGAAAACTTCAAAGTCCCGCTCATCTCAGGGATCAGATTCAAGTTCTCCTATCGTCGACTTAAATGACAATAATGAGGGATATACTCATAATGACGAAGATATGATAATAAGTCGACCGACAGGAAGGAAGAAAGAGAAGATGAGGAGGCGACATGCAACTGAAAAGAACATCGACTTTAAAACTCTCAATAAAAGCAATCAAGAAATTGTCGATATTTTAAAAAAAAGTCATGGACAACGAGAAAATGATAGAATGGTAATGCACCAGATTATGATGTTAAGGGCCGAAAACGATAAGAAAAAATTAGATCTTCAAAGGAAACGACAAGAAAGTATAATTATGTTAATTAATCTTGATACTATTACCGATCCTTCGGAACGCGAGTATTTTCGAATTAAAAAACAAGAGATTTTAAATAGAAACACAAGTGGAGGTTCTTCATCTGATATTCCTAATCCTGAATATAGTTATGCAGGAAGTCAATACGGAAAACCTGACTACAGAAGCGGTGGATATGGAGGAAATGGTCTGCCCGATTTTTAGTTTTTTCATGTACTTTATTTTTCTATGTAATGTCGCTGAATGTAATATATAAAATTTCATCCTTCGGAGTAGTTATGAAGGTTATTCCAAATATTATGCTATATTTTCTGGTTTTTAAAATTTAAAGGCTCTTATCTATGTCTTATTATCAATTTATTAAAGATAATTAATTTTATTTAAATAATAAGTATATTATATATTATAATTTTAATATTAATTTATAATATATTTTATATTTTAAATTAATTTATATAATTTTTTTAATATTTTATATTTTAAATCCATTTAAAGTATTATAAAAGCAATCAATTGAAAATATAAATGGAGCTTCATATAGAGGGGGGTGGTTGGAGTGCCCCCCTCTAAAAAAACATATTCTAGAGAATATTCTTTGGGGAGGCTGCAACCAACCACCCCCCTCTAAAAAAACATATTTCAGAGAATATTCTTTGGGGAGGCTGCATTTTGCAGCCTCCCCATTGGAGTTGCTCTAATTAAAATCTGTACGCAACATTGTAGGGTGAAAATTTGATTCTTCCGAAGAAAGGAGTTTCGTTTGTATTTATAAGAAAGCTTATTACAAACTAACAAATCAAATGTTTACAACAGAAGCAGAGGGAAGGCCCTCTTTGTTTTGTGTGGGGACTTTAGGTGGCTATAGGACGCTTCGCTCGATGCTCGGGTCGAGTCTGCTTCCCTTGGACCGTTTGAATGAGGTTGCTGGAGAGCTTCAGTTCGCAGTAGAAGCTCGGGGCAATGGAGTTCGGGTCTGCTTGGTTCGTCGGCGATCGGAGCTCGGAACTAGGCAGCAGTGCTGTAATGCAAGGATTTGCTAACAGCTTGGTCTCAACTCTTTTTTCTCCAAGTTTTGCGACCTCTCTTCCATCGTGCTGGAAGGGGTTTTTAAATGAAAGAAGGACAGCTTGACTTCTCCTTGAATTGTGGGATGTGACCACATCCTCTTCAGAGACGTCTCGCCGTTCCTCGATACCATGAACGGTCATTCCAGGGATTGTGCTCTATGTCCTGTCACCTACGATGGGAAGGCCCATTCTTGTATGTGAGGCAACAAACGACTGCTATCCGAGTGGATTTGACCAGCATTAATGAACCGCATTTATGAGTTCGCAGATCGATGAAGTGTCTGTCCGATCACTTGTACTGTGCGTGACCGCCCGGCGTGCTTTGAGCACGACGCTTTCTCCTTTCCGGTCAGGAGAGGCGGTGAAGTAGGTGTACAGTACTCGAGTGGGTCTAGCCAGCTTGCCGAGTGCCGGCGGATCCAGCTCTTGGCTCAGACATCCGAGGTGAGTCGCATTTATGAATGCTCAGGTTGACTCGACACCTGTCCAGTCCCTTCGCGCTGTGCGCACTGCGAGCGGCCGTTTGACGGTCCTGGGGTACTGTGCTCTCTCTCCCTTCGGGTCGAGAGAGATGGGAAGGTCCATCTCAGCACGTGGGGTAGTGGATACCCAGCTGTACTGACGGTTTTGGGGCTTGCTGGCGGATTCGACTCAGAACTCGGGCAGGCGAGTTGAGCGAAGAGCGAATTTCCGCCATCCTGATCGACCATAACTCGTGCTGGCGAGTCGACCGTTAGGCGAACCTGGACTTGAGTACAGTCGACGTCTACGCGGTTTAGGTCCGTGCCAGAGAACTGGGCGTGCGAGCTCTTCTCGTAGGCAAATTTCCTGTAGATCCATAGAGGTATTTTTTTACCGTCTACAAACATATTTGAAATAGCAACATAGTTATGAGGCATACTTTAAAATAGAAGAAAAAGTAACATTTTCAAATTCATAGTGATTATGGATTCATAATTTCTCAGCTTTTTTATTTTTTATTCTGTGGTAATAAATGTAAAAGCTCAAATAAGGATAAACTTATTTGTCCAAGTGCACATTTTAAAATTTCATCACAAGTTATTCACATTGTAATTCTAAATTTGAATGCGTTTATGAACACACTATGAGAAAATATTAAATACATTAATAAAATGAATCACAGTTAGTTATTTATTTGAAAATAAGAGACATATTTTGGAGAAAAAGTAAGTAATTAATTAATAAACTTAATCAGGATTATATTAGCGACACAGAAAATTGAATGGGTAAATAACAAATAGTAGATCTGTAGTGTAAATTTGCAAATGCGACACATATAGGGGTTGTTTGGTTGGTTTCCTAAAAACAAAGAAAAAAAATCTATACACTTTTATCATTATCTTCTTTCTTATTTTTAAAAATAAACCAAACACAAGAAATTGGTCACATCATCCAACTCATCTCATCTCCATCTCATCTCATCTTTTCAAATCACTCACATCATCCAATAATATGATGACAACTCATCTCATCTCATTAACATTTTATTTTCACTCATTTCCTAAAAAAAACATAGGAAAACAATTTCCTTAAATGTGTGTCACATCATCCAATAATATAATGACAACTCATCTTATCTCATCTATTTTCTTATTTTTAAGAATGAACCAAACAAAGAAAAGAACCTATTACAGGAAATATGTTTTTTATAATTCATTTCCTTATTTTTTCGGCAACCAAACAACCTTAAAACAAGTTTTCTTAAAAAATCACTCACATCATTCAATAATAATGTGACAACTCACATCATCTCATCTCCCATTCTTTGATTTTCTTCTTTTTTTAGCCAACCAAACAATCTCAAAACAATTTTTCTTAAAAATAGGTTTCCTATTCTTTGGTTTCCCTCTTTTTTTAGGCAAACAAACAGACCCTTAGACCATCTCCAACGCAGCGACATTTTGAGGCGAAAAGTGAAAATGCCGCTACGTGGGAGCTCCAATCGAGCGACATTTGTTGCCGCATTTTGACGGGGATGAACAGCGCGACGCTATATTTGGCGTCGCACTGTTCATCCCCCATTACTGTTTTTTTTTATTTTTTTATTTTTCATTTTTTTTAAACCTTATACTTTTATATATTTACAATTTGTCCCCAATTGTTTCATTAAATATATAAAACAACCCCAATAATATTTAAATTTTATAATTTTACCCCAATTGTATAATGTGGACAAAATAAATTATTTTTTAAAAGTAAACAAATGCTAAAATTTAACAGACATTATTATTAATTATAATATTAAAATCTAGACGTACATAATATAAAACTTCATTAAAGAGCAATCATAATACATAATTCAAATATAAATTACATATCTGAAATTACATAATATAAAACTTCATTAAAGAGCAATCATAATACATAATTCAAATATAAATTACATATCTGAAATACATAACATATAAAAACTGACACACATAATATAAAACTTCATTAAAATAAAACATAAAATACAAACTAAACATGGTGACGTTACTTAAGATGGACAAGCAACTCTCAATAATCTGGTAGATCGGGGCCAGAGTGTCCAATATCATTGAAATAATTGCCAAAATTAGAAGCAGACCCTTGTTCTTGTTGATTTCTTTTTTGTATTATTTTAATCTGTTGAGTTCGAACGTACTCACGCACATTTGGATCATCAATGTAATTCAAATCTTTCATTATAATTTTCCATTCATCTCTATCTTTTTTCATGGCTATCTTTTCTCGTTCGATATCAAATGCTTCTTGCCTGTCCAAGCTCGCCTTGTCTAACCTGTCTATAAGTCGATTGTTGGAGGTCTCGATGGAGTCCACTACACTTGACTCATGATCATCATTTTTCCTTTTCAATTTAGCTTTTTTTACCCCAATAGGTCGTTCAGATGGAGTAAATGATGACAATCCAGGAGATGTTGATATAGGAGATTCCGGAGTGGGATTATCTGATTGTGACGAGTCGAAGTTCACACTTTGGGATTGTCTTCGACCAACTTGTCTTGCTGTGGGGACATCATCTTTGAATTTTTCGAAATTTTTAACCATATTCCAGACATGATCAAATTTGAAACCTTTTTTGTACTTCGGTTCTTGCATAAATAACATCTTTGCTCGAACTAACTGTAAATTATAGTGAACATCAAGTTATGTATTTCAACAATAATAATAAAATTCAAACGATAATTAATAGAATACTTACAATATCTTCATCTGAAGCACCACTTGGATTCAGATTCTCTACTTGTCTCAAGCACGCATTCAATTTCCTTACTTCATTACTTATAATTTCCATTCGAGAACGAATTGATCGGCTCGTACGCATCTCAAAATGCTGATCTCGAAGTTCATTGTATTTGTCCTCCACACGAGACCAAAATGCATCTCGAGACTGGTTTCTACCGATAATAGGGTCTTGAGAAATATCCAAGAATACTTGACAAAGGAGCACATCTTCAGTTCCGTGTACCCAGTTGATCGAACAGACATTTTTTTGTAAAAAGTTGTTGGTTTGGAGATCAGAAATACTTCGAATTGGGTGGTTTGAAGTAGAACTCGTGAATGTTATTTATAGCCAATCCAAATTTGTTTTTTTGTTTGAATTTGAATTTGAATTTGCGGTTGGTTTGAATTTGTCGGTGGTTTTGTCGGTGGTCAACATTTGAAATTGAATCATTTTGTACAAACTGATCAGCTTTACACATTATCCAACGTTGTCGGTGGGAATCAATTTTTGAAATCAGGTCAGCTTTACACATTGTCCAACGTATACAAAGCTCAGCTCTCCTTGAATTGTGTGAAAGCTTTGTACGAGTGGGAATCAATTTTTGAAATCAGGTCAGCTTTACACATTGTCCAACGTATACAAAGCTCAGCTCTCCTTGAATTGTGTGAAAGCTTTGTACGAGTGGGAATCAATTTTTGAAATCAGGTCAGCTTTATACATTGTCTAACGTATACACAGCTCAGCTCTCCTTGAATTGTGTGAAAGCTTTGTACGAGTGGGAATCAATTTTTAAAATCAGGTCAGCTTTACACATTGTCCAACGTATACACAGCTCAGCTCTCCTTGAATTGTGTAAAATACTATTGTACGAGTGGGAATCAATTTTTGAAATCAGGCCAGCTTTAACATTGTCCAACGTATACACAGCTCAGCTCTCCTTGAATTGTGTGAAAGCTTTGTACGAGTGGGAATCAATTTTTAAAATCAGGTCAGCTTTACACATTGTCCAACGTATACACAGCTCAGCTCTCCTTGAATTGTGTGAAAGCTTTGTACGAGTGGGAATCAATTTTTGAAATCAGGTCAGCTTTACACATTGTCCAACGTATACACAGCTCAGCTCTCCTTGAATTGTGTGAAAGCTTTGTACGAGTGGGAATCAATTTTTAAAATCAGGTCAGCTTTACACATTGTCCAACGTATACACAGCTCAGCTCTCCTTGAATTGTGTGAAAGCTTTGTACGAGTGGGAATCAATTTTTGAAATCAGGTCAGCTTTACACATTGTCCAACGTATACACAGCTCAGCTCTCCTTGAATTGTGTGAAAGCTTTGTACGAGTGGGAATCAATTTTTAAAATCAGGTCAGCTTTACACATTGTCCAACGTATACACAGCTCAGCTCTCCTTGAATTGTGTGAAAGCTTTGTACGAGTGGGAATCAATTTTTGAAATCAGGCTAAACTTGGATCTTGAACTTGAATTGTACGATGCTTCACTCCACAATTCCACCAACCTCCTCTTGATATGATCGTGTAGGCTCAATCCATCCATCCTCCAACTACGTTGTTTGTCTACAAAACATGGGAATGCACAAATACTAGACAAACAACATTAGTAGTAAATTGTTTGTAAATCATCATCAAAACAAGAAGGCCAACAACGTGGTTTTCCAGGAATGTTAGGAAGTCTTGATTGTATGCATTGGAAATGGAAAAATTGTCCAACAGCATGGTCTGGGCAATACACAGGACGTAGTGGGTCACCAACTATTATCCTCGAAGCTGTGGCAGATTATGATCTTTGGATATGGCACGCATATTTTGGTATGCCAGGCACCAATAATGATATCAATGTGCTGGAGTCATCTAATCTTTTCTCTAACCTAGCTCAAGGTATTGCTCCTCCCGCTCACTATGTTATTCAAGGAAAAGAGTATAATATGGGTTATTATTTAGCTGATGGTATATATCCGAAATGGGCTACTATTGTACAAACAATCCAACAGCCACAAGGTAGGAAGAAAAAATATTTTGCCATGAAACATGAAGCATGTAGAAAAGATGTAGAACGTGCGTTCGGAGTTCTCCAATCACGATTTGCAATCGTGGCAGGATCAGCATGTTTTTGGAAAAAAACATGTATTACATGACATAATGACTGCATGCATTATTATGCACAATATGATAATCGAGGATGAACGTGATCTTTATACACCAATTCAAGAAGTGAGGGAAGCACCAACACCAGAAGTTGATATGGTAGCAGATGAAACTACAAGATTTGGTCAATTTATTGCACGTTACGGAAAAATCAAGGATAAAGATGCCCATATTGCGCTTCATAATGCATTGATAGATCATCTATGGGAGGAATACACTAATTCAGATAGTTAAGAGCATACTAAATTTGTAATCTTTACATTGTTGTTAATGTTTAATTATTTTCTTACATTTTATTTTCTGTTGTGTTCTTGAATGTAATATTTTGGCAATATTAATAATAGGTATATAATATTTTATTGTTTTATTAGTTTAATTTTTTAAATAATAAATCATTTTGTTTGGAAAATATGTGAAAAAATAAAATTTGATATGTGGGGTTAATTGTTGAAATAGTTAAAAATATAGGGAATAAAAAATAATCATATAAAAGTAGATAAAAAGAAAGATACTGAGAATATTCCTTTTTGGTGCAAAAAATGGTGCAATGGGTTGGAGATGAATTACTGTTAGATGTGACTTTTGCACCATTTTGGTGCAAAATTTGCACCATTTTGAGGCAAAGGGTTGGAGATGCCCTTAGGGGGTTATACATGCAAAAGCGCAACCATTAAAAGGGTCCAATTTGCAAAAAGTCAATTAACTCTGCATTAACAACTAAATCAAGAAAGATTTCAACTTGATTCTTCGCTCGTCTCTCTCAAAACTTCTTCTGGAAAGAAAAAGGAAAAAAAAAAAAAAATACCGCGACCAAAATAAATCCGAGATCTCAAAAACTCAAGCCTCCATCTTCGTCCTGCAATGGCGAGGAGCTCACGAAACCCTAGATCCTTTCCAAGCCGCAGATCGTCGCCCTACACTCTAATCTTCGCCGGTCTCCTCACCCTCTCGATGTTTCTCTTGATTCTCCTCGCTCTCGGGATCTTCTCGCTTCCGATTAGCTCCGATAACGCTCCGAAAGATGAAGTTGATCATAGACGACAGCATAGATCGGTGGTTGAAACGTAAGGTTTTGATTGGATCTGATGATTTTTTTTTCCTTTTCTTATTTATTTATTTATTTTATTTTTTGAACTTTTTTGGGGTTTTGTAGGGATGGGATGGGGGTGAGAGGGAAACAGTGGACGGAGATCTTGTCGTGGCAGCCTAGGGCGTTTGTTTACCATAATTTCCTGGTGAGTAATTTAATTTTGCTTTGTTTTGTTTCAAATTTGCGGGGAAAATATTGAATTGTGTGGGTAAAAAAATCATTGGATTGTCATTAGAATTAGATTATAGTACATTTTCAGTTTTGTATTGCATGCTCAAAATTTTAATGTTCGAACTCTTCTGTGATATTTGCATAATATAGTAGTAATTGAGATGAAAGAATTTGCATAGTTTCGTTGAGGAATTAAACTATGTAGAGTAGGATCATGCAAAAATAAATATGAAGATGGGTTGTGGACGGACTGTATTTACTGTAGTAGTAGTTTTTTTTCCTGCCAAATTTAGTTGATTTAATTTGAGTCTAGTACCCATTTCTAGATCCTTGGTAGTGCATTTACTTAGGGCTTGTTTGATTGTGTGAAAAGGGAGCTACAAATGTAAACACTGCCGATATGTATTTCCCGTATTTGGTTTGCTAAATTGTAATTAGGAAACACAAGTACACTAATAGTTTGTGGAAAAAAGCTTCCACCAAAGTTGCAACCAATTTGACAGAAGTAAAAGCTGCACTTTCCCAAAAGGAAATTAAAAATAAAAATAAATGCCACCTCACCAGATACCAATATTCTAGTTCAAATCTAGAGAAAATCATTTGCAACTTTTCCGGAACTTGTTGTCAAGCAAACAATGATTTTCACTGGAAATACAAATATTACAATAAATTGCAGATAATCCAAACAACGAATTTGAAGTTGATTTTTTGCAACAAATGTTGCACGCAACATTTGCTGCAATTCACTTTTGCAGCACACCAAACAGTTAATTCTTTCATGCCTTTTGCTGCCTTGAAATGAATCCCATAGCTTACTGGGATTCAATTATTTTCTGTTATAGTTGCTGTGTTGAGACCAACTCCGAACGAAAAAAGCAGCCAATGAAAAAACGATGAATTCTCTCCTTGTTGTCATTGCAAACAAATAATTTATGTGTGAGAATGGGTAGCTGATAATTTTCTACTAGATTTCTTGATCCCTGTTTGATATTTTCTCTAGTTGCTTCATTTGTTATCCTTTTCTTAAATCTTCTTATTGACACCTCCTGACATTTCGTCTTGGTTGTATGATGATTTTAATACTTTCTTCCCTTTTCTGTGCATTCTTTACAAATTTTGAGAATAGTATTGGAATCTCCAATTATAAGTTAATAAAATGTTTTATGTTTTTTAGTCCAAAGAGCGGCTTCACGAATTGTAAGAATACACTATTGAAGTTCCAATAGTAATTTTGTTGAATATTTTGTGCTTTGTCAGTCCAAGGAGGAATGTGAGTATTTAATCAAACTAGCTGAGCCTCATATGACAAAGTCAACTGTTGTGGATAGCAGTACAGGAAAGAGTAAAGACAGCAGGTTTGCTATTGCACACATCACTACTTCTGATTTATTTAGTAATCTGAGATATGCTTAGCATTTTGTAATTCACATGTAATCAGAGTGCGGACAAGCTCAGGCATGTTTCTCCCAAGAGGTCGGGACAAAGTAATTAAGGCAATCGAGAAAAGGATTGCTGATTTTACCTTTATACCTGTAGGTATGTGACCAGGAGATTTACATGTTACGTAATTTTTTGGTGACTAATAAATTTCATTACTCGCTGTTGTGATCCTTTTAGCATGCTTTTCACACCTTACAATAGCAGTAGTAGATATTTATTTCCTTTTAACGTGTTTTGTATAAGAAGAAGAGGGTAGATATAGAGGGTGTTTGGGAGGACTTTTTTTTTAATAAATAAAAACTAGCTTTTCAGCTAGCTTTTTCATTCCTACCTATTTGGTATAATGCCAAACAGGTTAGCTTGTAAGTCCCATTTTAAAAAGCTAGTATACACCAACTTTTGAAAACTAAAAAAACTAGGTGTGATCAAACAAATTACTGTTAATCCCAAATAATTTTTATAGCGTTTTTAGGAAAAAAGCAAAAAGTCACAAAAAGCGAGCATAACCTTTAACCTTCAAAAAATAAGTCTTCTCAAACACCCTCATAATTCTTCTGTGGTGTATGGGGAAAAACTAAATTTCCAGTATATGCATCATTTAAAGCCATTTTAAATGATTAATTGATGGCTTTGTTGCTAGTTTTGTTTTGATTAGTTCGGATATATTTTTGACTATCCTAGTGGATGTCACATAAATTAAGATTATAGAAGGAAAATAAAATTGAGACAAAATAAGCTTGAAGGCGTATAAAATGGCTAGGAGCTATATCACAAACAAAACATGCCTTTAGGCCGAACTTTTTTTCTTATGCAACTTGGGTCATAATTTGACTAATGGGTCCTAGTATTTTAGGTCCCGAACCTGATTCAGATTGGGAAGATCCTTTAGTTCAATATAGTCGAAGAAACTTTTATTATCTATATATTTCAGTGAATTGTTGATCTGCATACGGTTGTACGATCAATTTGTTGTTATGAGATGGGAATGACTTGGTAGATGTTGTGATTCTTAGTTGATGACAAAAGAGCATATATTATTGGGCAGTACTAAAGGTTGACATTGTTGTAGGTTTGGCACTGATGTATGAAAACTTTCCTCCTAATCACATGGATTACCAAGACACACATTTATGTTGAGAATCTTCGTAGTCCAGAAACTTGAGCCTCCCTAAAATAAGACCTTCAACCACTTTTCAAGAATTTAATGTAGGGTAACCATTTGTATTGATTTTAGAAAATGAACTGAATAGAAAGCCCAGATAAATTAGTAGCAGCATGTCCTGGATCAGAGTGTTAGCTTGCTTAGCATACTAGCTTTTGCTGTGAATTTTATATGTATCCAAGTAGAACCTAACTAGTAGAGTTTCTTGCATGTTAAACATGACTATTTTGAGTTGTATAAAATATAGAAAGAAACAAATAAAGTTCGTTTTTCTACAGGATGTTTATGAAGCCATGCACCTCCACAAACTAGTAGCTCAATTCTCAGGAGAATTTGAAATTCACATTCATTATGAACAACATATCAAACCTGATGCAGCTTGAGAAAAACCTACAAGGAGGCTGTTTTCTTTACCTGTTTGGCTTTTAATGCCCATCTTCATATTTTATTTCATTTATTGTATTGTTATTATGTGTGACCTTTTCTTCTTCTACCCTCATTGTTTCACTAGTGTTACAACATCTTCATGTTTTACAGAGCATGGAGAGGGGCTCCAGATTCTACATTATGAAGTTGGACAGAAGTATGAACCTCACTTTGATTATTTTCTTGATGAATTCAACACAAAAAATGGGGGACAGCGAATTGCTACAGTTCTGATGTATCTGTATGTCTCTTGCCCCTTAATTTGCTTGATATCTTATCAAGCTTATACTTCTCATTGAAGTCTGATATTTGTCTTTGCACTATTGTTATGCGTCGGCTTTTGTGTAGTTCTGATGTGGAAGAGGGTGGTGAGACAATCTTCCCCTCTGCAAATGTGAACAGCAGTTCTCTGCCATGGTACAATGAGCTATCAGAATGCGGCAAGAGGGGTCTTTCTGTTAAACCAAAAATGGGAGATGCGTTGCTTTTCTGGAGTATGAAGCCTGATGCTACTCTAGATCCGTTAAGTTTGCACGGTATGATTCTCTCTCTCTCTCTCTCTCTCTCTCTCTCTCTCTCGGGTTGAGAGAATTACATTCTACTAAAACTTTGTAATTATGTATTGATTCTTGGACGCTGATGTTATTTAAAATATGAAGTGCACTCACTGACCTTATGGACAACTTTTCTTTTTTTAATTGTAAGAATAAACAAGGTGTTACTTATTCACCTCATTTGTGACTATGCAGGTGGATGCCCTGTGATTAAGGGGAATAAGTGGTCATCTACAAAATGGATGCATGTGAATGAGTACAAAGTTTAACTTATCAAACTAAGGTACTCTCATTCTTTCATTGATTAGGGAAAGTGATAAGCTAACCTTCATACATGTACACATCTATTTTCCTCAAAATTTCTCTAGATTTCCAAATATTATTTTATACTCCAAAAACTCTATGCAAAATGTAATACTATAAAAAGGAAAATTTCACAGAACTACCATAAACTTTGTGGAGTTCTGCACAAAACTACCATAAACTTGTTTATCAGAGAAACTACCATGAACTTTCATAACTGCAGAGAAAATACCCTGAGTTATTGAAAATTGTTGTCAAGGGCATCAACGTCTTGGATAAAAGGTTTTAAGTTTCCCTTATTTGTATCTATCATCAACTCACAAAGTTAACAATGATAATGTGGATGATATATATAGTATATAAGGGCAAAAATGACTTGCTTGCTTTGTATGTGACAACTTTCGTAACTGCTGTCATGGATGGTAGTTTAGTGAAAAAGTCCACTCTAATAAATTTATGACAATTTACTGAAGTTCATGATAGTTTTGTGAAATTTAGCCCTACCCATTTGCCCTTTACCCTGTGAACCATAACAATTCATCGTCACTGGAGCTGATGAATATTTTCCTCTTCCAGTTTGGTTTTTTCGCAGGTTAAAAAATCAGTTTCATGTAGCTAATACCACTGGCGCTTCTTTGAGCAAACAATCCCTCAACACCCTGACTGCATATTGAATTATTTACCTTCTGGATGCTGTAAACTTTTGACGATTGGAATAAAAGGTGGTTATTTTGTGATTAGAAGCTAACTTTGTATAGAATCGGAAACTGGTTGTGGTATTTGCTGCTGCGTACGTTTCTTCACGCACCATATTTGTGCTCATTAAGGCTGGAGGAAAGAGGAATAGGTCGTGCGTAGAGTTTTAGATGTCTTGAAGCCAAAGAAAACAGTATCAGTTGATATAGAGTTTTAGAGTATGTTGTTATTTCAGAAGATTGATTGTTATTTATTTGTTTTCCCCTCTTATACGGATGGAAATACTATATTACGATGTCATTTTCTTTTAATGGATTCAGGTTACAAAGATATTCATAAAGTTTTGTTTTAATGAAATGTATCTCGGATTGAATTCAGTAAGTTGGGTGTAAATGCGTCAACAAGACTATAATCTTGAAGAAAAGAGAAGAGTATTATGTTCATTGACATGTTTAAAAGTGTATATAAGATGCTATGAGCTTGATTTTCTTTAGTTTATGATGTTTAATGATGTTATTCACTCTGCATCTAGAGGTTCTACATTAAAGACACAGGTTTAACAAATTACGGAGTAAAAGAACAAATGATTGCTGGTTTCAGTAATTTCTCCGCATTTTACACAATTTTGATCAATATGAATTCCTAATACTCTTAATATATCAGCCCTTTCAATTTCTCTTCAATCACCAGTGACGTAAGACATAGTTTATCCACCAAAATTTAATAATTTATAAACAGAATTAACTGAAAAAACATAGCCTTTTGCTTTCCCAATTACATTATTTAAACCAGTTATCATAATGCAAATGCAATAGCAAAGGATCATCTAAAAGAAAAATTTGCTTGGAGACTTGGAGTGCAAAGAATACCTTTTTTTTTTCTTCCAGTTGAACTTCTACACACGTGTACATCAAAAGTTCATCAAACATGACCCAGACTTTATCTGAGAAAGATTCCGGTGGTATAACGTCTACAAAAAACAATGCCACATTTCTTGACTACAGAAAAATCACCGATCACCAACTGCAACTCTATCAGTTCTTTATAAGAGAGGGAACCTCCCAAGTGAAACTACTCTTTCTGTACTAAATGCTGAACGTCTTCAAGCTCAACTTCAATCTGATTCCACTGATCTCTGCCACTCTGAAACAAAGACTCAATCTCCTCCAGAGACTTCCCCTTTGTCTCGGGAACACAGAAATACACGAAAACAACCGACAACGCAGAGATCGCTGAAAAAATGAAGAACGTCCCTCCGACCGATATAGCCTCAGACATCGACAAAAATGACATAGCAACAAATCCACTGCTCAATCTATTGCCAACTGCACCAAAAGCGGAAGCCTGAGCTCTAACCTTAAGAGGAAATATCTCAGAAGTCAATACCCAGCAGACTGGTCCCATACCCACCGAAAAAAATGCAACATTGCCGCAAACCGCCAATATCGCTAGTGCAATCACGGCATTTGGGGACACAATATCGTGCCCGAGTAATGAAAGAGATAACCCTAATGCGAACAAGCAAAAAGTCATCCCGATAGTACTAACATATAACAGCGGTTTTCTGCCAACTCTATCAATCAGGACTATCGCTACCAAGATAAACACAGTTTTTGTAACACCAACAGCTATCGTTGCTGCAAGATTCTGAGTCTTTGATTTAATTCCAGCATCTCTGAATATCGTTGGACTGTAATAAACTGTAGCATCGATACCCGTTATCTGCTGAAAACACTGAATCCCTAATCCAGTGATCAACATTCGACGTAGAGCAGGAGTAGGCCTCAATATCTCTCTCCAAACTGCTTTCCCTTCATTTGAACCTACTGCAGCTTTTTGTATTTCTGCCAGTCTCTGATCAGCTTCTGCTTCATTCTCGCTAACCTTAAGTAGTACAGATCGAGCTTCTTCGATTCGTTTCTGCACCACTAACCATCTTGGCGATTCTGGTATCATGAACAATGCAAATGCAATGAAAACAGAAGGAAGTATTCCTACCCCGAGCATCACCCTCCAACTTATATGTGCGGATAACCCAGAAAACACGTAATTTGACACATAGCCGAGCAAAATACCCAAATTGATGAAAATTTCAGGGAAGGACGTAAAGGTGCCTCGAGCGATAGTAGGCGAAATCTCTGCAATGTACACAGGGGCAACCATGACTCCAAACCCTATACCGATACCAGCAATGATTCGACCGATCATGAGGACGAGGAAATTCGGGGCGAAGGTCATGATGGCTGCACCGATTTGGAAAACTATGGCGGCGAGGCCTATAGTCCATTTTCTGCCGACTAGGTCTGAGGTTTTGCCGCCACCAAGGCTGCCTAAGAGGGAGACAATGCTTAGGCATCCTACTAAGACTTCTTGTTGTACTTCTGATATGTTGAGGTCTTCTTTCATGAAGAGAATGACTCCACTCATAACACCCACATCTGTGAGAAAATTAAGCGAGCATTCAGGTTATAAATGCTCAAGAACTTGTTATCTTAGGATGTGCATAGTTTCCTTGAGAATGAACATGATAATAGAGAATTTGAAGAATGTTCTCCTTCTATACACAAAAAGCTTATTTCTTTGGCACTAACTATCCTTTCCCTTCGCCCAAATTTGCATAAACTACACAGAACACACTATCCAAATGTAAAGAAGGAAAAAAAAAAAAAAAACGTTCACGCTTCAAAATTTTGAAGGAAAGGGCAAAGTTTTCCAGAATGCATCGTGATAACGAAATTCGTAAGACTGACCCCACCCTGAAATTTTTGGATTGCTTACATGAATGATTTTGTTTTCTCCATTCAACTCAGTTAAGGCCGTCTATAAAATTAGCAAATATCATAAGTTCATTGATGCCCATATATTACTTAAAGAGAATCAAATTTGACCATAAAGATCCAATGATATGTAAAATATAAACTATAAATCGAATAACATGCGTATATGAGCAAATATATTTGACATGCCACAAAAATTTCAATAAATTCAGATCCATTCATACCTAGCATGACTATTACTTAAAAACTGTCATATACTCACTAATTACGTTAACTATTATTTGTCACTTAAAATATCATAAAAATGAACTACTCTATCATCGGAAATTAATATCGTTGACCAAAATCAAATCTTTAGACCATAATCCTACCAATTCAACCCCCCAAAACCCCCAAAAATAAATCCCCCACGCACAAATGGGTATCTCCCAAATTATCCAAAAACCCTCAAAAAACCAACTAAAATCCGGATTCTCCAAATGGGTATCACCCAAAACATTCAAAAACACTAAAAAAGACTAAAATTAATCGAAAAAAAAACTCACCATATCCAAGGAGCACATTATTGAGAGAAGCGAAGACGGCGCAAGCAAAGACATACTTCTCACTGTCACTCCTCCCTCTCTTTCTTCGAATTGGTTCTTCAATCTCTTCATTGAACTGCCCATCCATTCTCATGTACTTGCCCTTGAGCTTTGGGATCTTGGGCTCGGCCCCATTGCTCATGGGTTCAGGATCCATGAGACCCATTAGAGAAAGGAGAGAGAACGACGGAGGCTAGATCTAGAGAGAGAGAGACGAGACTTTTTTGAGAGGGAAGTTTTTGGATTGATGAATGAGATTGAATTGAAATATCAAATGAACAGAACCAACGCGAATTTGTTGGGAGGAGTAGACCAGGAAAGTCACTCGCCTGCTTCCCTCTGTTTCTTTGTAGCAAAGATATTAAGTTCCTTTTGCATGTAAGTCCTTACTAGGAGTTTTTTATTGCATAAATTTTAAGGGACAAAACTTTATCTATTCCTCGTGCAAAGCACGAGTTCTTTTTTTTTTCCCGCTATAGCATTCTGTATTTAAATACAGTTTTTGTAAATGCTACAGTAATATTTTTTAAATGTTACGGTATCCCGCCTGAGCTACAGTAATAGTGTTACAGTAATGTTTTTAAACGCTACAGTCCCGCATATGCTAAAGTAATAATGTTACAGTGATTTATTGTAGCATAAAGATTCTCATGTCTGTGCTACAATAACAATACTACAGTAATTTGCCATGGCATAAAATAATGAATCTTGGATCCTCGCATTAGATAATAGAAGGATCCAAGATTCATATTCATAAAGTACTGTAGCATTACTACTGTAGCACAGACACTTCGATCCAAGAGTCACTATTCATAAACAATAGATAGTACTGTAGTATTATTACTGTAGCATAGACATGGGCTGTAGCGTTTAAAAACATTAATGTGGTATTATCACTGTAGCTAAGGCTGGATACTGCAACATTTTTTAAAATTTTTACTGTAGCACTTTTATAAAAATCTGTATTTAAATACAGAAATTACTGTAGTAAAAATAAAAAATGAAGACCGTGCTTTGCACATGGTGCACACTAGTTTACATAATATGAGGAACTTAGGACAGAAGCTCAACTTTCCTCTATACTTATATTTATTGTCTTAAAAGATATTTTCCCCATCTGTATTAGAAAAAAATTTCTTGTATAGTTGATTACGTGGTTTTGGTCTAAAATAAGATTCTCATTATCTAAATTGCACTTATCTGGTACCTTTCCAAAATATCTTGTTGTTTAAATTATGAATATTAGTTAGCGTATTTTTTCCCGTTAATATTAGAGTTTAAAGTTGAACTATCGTCTATTGCTTAGATAACCTGATTAATTAACTTATCTTCATGTTAAAATATTTCTGTCTCTAGCTCTAAGCAAAAAGGGAGAGTGACGTACACGTACTAGAGACGAGTATTTCTCTATCATGAGGGGAGGCTGGGGAGCTAATATAAAATTATTTTTTGCCTTAATTAGATAAATAAAATTATGTTTTATTGTTCTAAAACTCAACAATTCCGGTTCACAAATTTAGATTCATTATGAAAAGTTGTTTGCGATGGAAAAATCACAATGTTAAAGTAGAGACTTAAAACGTGTTCGGAGATTTTTCTTTTTTAGTAATTAAAAAAATAAAGATACTATTCAATTTTTTTCCCAATGAGGAAATGATATGTCTACTTTCTAAAATCAAGGTGAGAGATTATATTATTTGGGATGCAATTGTATTGTTGTGTGTAATTATGTAATTTGCCAGCACTAAATTCGGTGACACGTCGGCATAAAGCTTAAAACTGCTGTTTGGTGTTCTGGAATGGAATGTACCTGGGCCCCCGCGGTTACAGCTGATCAGCTGGGCTCTTCTTTCTTCCGTCGGCCAAGTTGAGAATTTAGTATATGCGTTGATCGCCTCGGTTCAGGCTGCCAATTTAAAAGGGAAAGTCTCCCGTGAGAGTTACGGCTCAGCCAATAGGAGATTGAGGACTGGTTCCCTTTGTCTAGCTTGGATCTCAAGGTTATGGGTTTATTATGTTTGCGTGGCAAGTTGGGGAATTAATTAATACTTGGATTAGTTATGTTTAGGTAACTTTTAAGTATGTCGTAATTGCAGTGACGATGCTGCGTATCTACACACGTTACCGTGATTTTTATCTATACGGGTAGCTCTAAGAAGGAACAAATAAACAGGCTTCAAGGTCGTTTATATAATTTCAATTAGTAAATTTAACTTCACCGGTATAGATAAGCAGGCTTTAGGTTCGTAAATATAGTTAAACAATAGTTCAAGATACCTGAATGTAGTTAATCCTGGACAATTGCATTTACAGATCAAAAGAAGGTTCCCTAAATATTTATGTTGATGTCAGTTATCGAATAGGAGGTTATTTTTGTGGATTATGAGGGTTATTAGGGTCCTCAAGCTTCCTCAGATAGTTGGTTCCTGGACCAGAAATCCTATCCTGCACATGAAGGATTCGTGAGAGATCGGAGTTGGGATCTCCGGTGATTCATCCGAAAATCAAGCCAGTTCAAAGCTTGAGTGAGAAAGTAAGAGTTAAGTAGCAAATAAAGTTGCTCAAAGTTGGTTAAAATAGCTTACCCTAGGCATCAAGCCTTAATTCCCTTTAATAGTAGATCTGAACAGTAGAAAGATAACTTTGGCCAAGTCCAGCTGGTGGCTTGGTCGTTATCTACTTTACAGGTGTCGGCCGCTGAAGGGGGTGAGTCATCTCGGCATGTAATGTGAGGGTGATAGGATGCACATAGTGCGGACAAGATCCGATGAGTCATAAAGACTTTCGAGGTTGGAGTAATGATAATTCTGGTCATGCATATAAGGTGATAGCGATTGACTATCGGTGGGGGGCTTGAGGGTGCACCGCCTTCCGATTTGTCTCACTACAGGCCGCAAACAGCACCTTTTTAGTCGGCCTCGCAAGTTGTCGGCCTGAAAGGGTCAAATGCCAATAAGGAGCGGAGCGGAGTTGACTAGAGTGGTAAGCCGAGTGAGGATGCTTCTCATCTCGATCCTACGGGTAGGTCGATAAGTACTACCTTTTAGTTAGCTTCCAAGTTGTCGGCCTATTGGGTCGACCGCTGGAGTTACTTAAGTCGTCCCTCTATAAATATGACTGTTTAGGCATAGGGTACGACAAGTGTCGGCCTTCTAATAGGATCAACACTTAAACTATTTTGCATGCTATAACAGTGGCCCCTTTCATTCGAACTCGGTTGGCCGAGTCTGAGTAAAATTTGAACAACCGACAATCAGCGATACCAGAGGCACTTTTAAGAAGAAAGCGACGGGTCGTTGTTGATGTGATATACTGACGTCATAGGAGATTGTACGCCATCATCGCCTAGTTTCTTGAGCTGGATGGTGTGTCAACCGAAGGGTAGTGCTTCGGTTTCTACGCGGTCTATTTGACTTCTGAGGTCGATCTCTGCCTTCTATCTTCAACCGAGTTAGCCATTCCAATCTTGACACGTGTCCATCTCTAAGCCAATATATATCTTTGTTTCTGTGGAAAGGCTTCATTTACTAACTCTCTGAATTATGAATTCTGAACCGTAGCTCTACTTCAGGCGATTTCTGACCAACACTCCAACAATCTTTGATGGCTTCTGCTGCTTCCACCGTCGGCCGGAACGAGTTGAGGATTAATTTCCTTAGGTCAATCCGTTCGAAGCTTTGAGCAACGGAGCTTGAGGCCTACTATGACCACTACGATCTTTCCCGAGCTTTCACCTTGTCAACGCCAGAGATGGGTGAGGCTGTGTATGATCACAACAGAGTGATGGCTTTGATCTACTTAAGACACTTGGAGTACAGACTCCGATTGTCGCTCCACCACTTCCTTCGTCGTGTCTTTGAGGCTTTGGGGTGTATCCCTCACGAATCAAGCTGAACTCCATCGCCACATTAGTGGGATTCATGGTAATCTACTATCGAGTTGGAGTTGACCTGACTTTGCGCATACTCAGCCACCTTATTAGTGTCAAGATTGGGAAGAAGGAGGAGCACTAATACTTCCAAAACTTGGGCGGCTTCAAAGTCGTGTTGAGCGCTCCCGACTTGAACAATGATCGGAAGGAAAAGTTTATGTGGGTCTTCAAGACCGACCCTATCTTGTCTAGCTTAGCCTAGCCTAAGATCAGGAAAGGTGTGCTGAAGCCGAGTCTGCTCATGGCTGAGGAGAAACAAGGGCTCGAGAGGATTCGAGCCTATACTAGGTCTCGAAGGATCGAGTACCTATTTGAGCCTGCGGTTCTGCGAGTGGCTAGCATCTCCAAAAGCCCACCGACTGAGGAAGACAACATTTGAGCAGCGGTCCTAGCTCTTCCACTAAAGGAGTTGGACGAGACATAGATGGAGTCAACAATTAGACCCCAAATATGCCTGAGGTCCGAGTTGGCCCCTACTGAGGCTAAGGAATTGGCAACAAATATTGCCAAAATTGTAGCTCGATTGGCAGGGTCGAGTGCTACTGCATAGGCCAAGAGGTCTGAGAAAAAGAGGAGAAGGCTGTGAAAGGTGAGCAGCCGAGGTTCCTCTGGGGGTGCCGAGTTGACTCGGGTTGGTACGGGAGGAGTAGCAGAGGTAGTTACTCCCATCTCGGTCTAGAAAGTCAGCCAACATCCTCTTTCTACTCCAGCGTCCTTCGCATCAAGCCATCTGAGATAATCTTTGTCCTTGATGAGTGTAGGCGTCAAAAATTGCCTATAGGTCTCTACGAACAGCTCAGTGTTAAGGAATAATGATGAACGTCACTATCTGGTTCACAGGAGTTCGATTGACGTCGGTGAACGCTTGAAGTGAATCGACGAACTACGTGAGCTGACAGAATTCCGGAATAACGAAGGTGCGGGCTAATCGGGAGCCCCGTAATGTTTACAAAGGGAACAATGCCCTTCATGTCTCATTCATTTTACAGATAATCTAACCATTAGAGCTGATAGAACTCCTTGTCGGCTTTCCAACGCATTTGGAATCACTCAGATCCAGGTTCAGACAAAAAAGTTACAGTGAAAACAGTCAAACGGGCATTGAAAACGTCTCAAAGCTGAACTGAGGCACCTACGGTGTCTCGGCCAAGTCAAGACACCCCAAGGGTGTCTCGGCCAAGCCAAGACACCCCAAGGGTGTCTCGGGTTCGAGACACCCCAAGGGTGTCTCGACCAGGCCAAGACACCCCTAGGGTGTCTCAGCGCGGATTTGACCCCTTTAAGCGGTTTTAACCGCTCCGCAATCCCTCATGCCTATAAATACAAGCCTTACGCCTCATTTTTTTGGGAGCTGGAATTATTGTGCCTTGGCGAAGCCCTGCCGGATT